GATTCTCACAGGTCAGTGTTTCCCTTTGGCTAAGTTTTAGCCAATAGGAACGAAGCTGGATAGTTTGTAAACGACTGAATGTCACTTTTGGTTTTCCCCTGTCCAGCACACTTGGTTTGTCTTGGACACTCTGCGCAAAGTTGCTACACGCCTATCACCCACGCTTACCTCCTGTTTCTTGCTTCGTGACATGATGCACATAGCCATGGGGTCAGCGCGTGAAAGTATTGGGTAAAGATAATGTTTGAGTACAGGTAGATATGGGGAATACGGTAGGCCTGTATTGTCTTCGACACATGTGATTTCCCTGACAAGCATGCATGGATATTTGTGGGGCAGGGCAAGGAACTTACCCATTTTCAAGTCGAATGTCCGGCTGATTCGGCATGGTTGGCGTGTGTTACGCATCGAGTCAAGCCTGTATGTCTACCCGTATTTTACGACTCAATGTTGAGTGTGGTACACCGTTTTTTTTGGCAACCTCTAAAATTTTGATTTGCTCCATTGGTGATCCCTCCAGATATGCATACCCTTTTATATATTATATCCACGTAGTGTCGTGATATTTGAAAATGACAATTTGAACGAAGGCTGAAACACCACACCCAATCACAGAAAATTTGACGACATGCCTCGACCCACGCGGCGCAAGCCCAAAGAGTACAAATTCTCGAGGTACACGTACGAGCAGAAGCATGTCATCTTGCAATACCGGGACTCCCACATTCAGGCTCCAATTTCGTCCGATTCGGTTTTACTCGATTCAAAACTCATACAAATCGCGAAAACACATACTTCCCACAACGCATTCGAATTGCCAATCGTGTTGTGCGCTCGGTTGAATCGCAATGTCGTGGTGGCTCTGGTGGGCCAACGCGGTGGCGCAAGTGGCCTTGGTAGCACCCATCGCAAACGCAAAGTGCTAAAGCCGCCACTTCAGCACTTGCGATGGGTGCCACCAAGACGTCTTGCGCCACCGCCCGCGCAACCACGTGATCACACCGGCAGGGAGGTGTGCGGCACCGACAAGGGTTGGATGGTGGAATGAGGGATGACCAATTTCATTGGGTTAGTAGGCAAGTGGTGAAATGAGACCTGTTAGAATTGACTGAGTCCTGAATACCACATCACATGATCTTGCTCTCATACACAGCCTACAATTATCTCAAGGCTCCTTGCATCAACTGCCATCACAGGAATATATCGCAACAGGGCGTGATGAATCTACGCAGGGATTTCCGTGTTTCAGCGCATCTGATTGGACAAAATTGGACATTTTTGAATTCGCAAGGTGACTGACCTGCCTTGCGAATTCCAAAAAGAGACAGACATATGAAAAATAGAAATCATCAATACAAACTTGAAGATATATTTAATTGAAACTATACAATTTCAGACTCCAGAGTACAAAATTTAAAGTTCAAAATTGTAACATCTTCTGTCAGTGTTATAGCCAATCGTGTGTAAGGAACAAGGTGTGATGGACTCTGATTGGATATTAAAAAGAAGCAAGGTCACCTTGCGAATTCCATTAACAAGTCATTTTGTGTTACTGTTAAGTGAATCACAGTGGTTAGCGATAGCTACCACTAGCGATGCAGTTAGCCCCGGGGATTTAGCATCGTATGTACTCACTGGGGGTGGGTTAAACCGGGTATTTGCCTCACCACCTGTCGATAGGATGTGAAAATTAATTCCTGAGTTATACATTTGCCTTTATATTTAAAGAATTTTACTATCCGTTCGCTACCCGTTCTATATCAGAAAAAAACGTTTCATCCCCACATGTGCACATGTGCGAGAAAAATTCAACACTCGATGCATGCGCGAATGAGCAAAATGCGGAACTTTAGTGGGTGAATACGTAGGCTAGGAATGACGACGAGGGGTGGGACGCATACTAACTTGTAGATTATTACACGGGGCATGTGCACATCACAACCTGCACCGTGGCAGCTAACTATAGATAGCGGTAAATCATGCGCATGTGCACGCATGTGCGCGAAAAACTACAAATTCGTCCTCCAATCGCGAGTTTTCGTTCATTTCCTGCATCTTCCAGGTAAATTTGTTACTTTCTAAGCATTTGTACTCACATTTTGATAACCAAATTAGGATAGCTTTTTTATCTTAAAGTATGTATGCGTCGGAGCATTGAAATTCTGTGTTTAGGGTAAGCGGTTACAACAGGTTTTATAAAAATTATAAAAGGGTATTGTGTTATAGAGTTAAATTTCTGTTGTGGAAGGATGTCCACCGAGTTTAACACTCGACAAAACCTCAGATCCAACCCAATGTGGGCCGTTTCGACTAGAGTACTTCAAACTCAATCTTGAATGACTATTACCAATGGATTCTCGCCGTTTTTGCATTTCATTCACGAGACGGAATGGTAAGCATTATATGACAGAGGTTTTGACTCGAACAAATACAAGGTGTGATTGGGCACTACAAAGTTATCCTAAATTGGTTAAGGGCGGGTCTGGATGCCACGAAAAATGGCATAAAATGGCTGTTTTCGAAGAAAAGTTGGCAAAATCGAAATATTCCATGTTTCGAGATTTTGTGCGTCTGGATGCCATCAATGTTCAAAACTTTATGCCACAATTTTCTTGAGAATCGGGTGTTTTATGGAATAAAAAAAAATAAAAAAAATGGTCGATTTGGTCCAACTTTTTTATGGAGGTTTGCGTTCACGTTGATGTCTTGCACTTCAATCAGAAATCGAACAATTTTTCCACAATTCAACTGGTATCCAGACAATTTTGTAGATCCTTCTTTTCTCATTTTTCTCATGGGATATGAGATTTTGGGAATTTTTGCAGACTTACCGAAACGGTTTATGGCATAAATTTATGGGGTGGCATCCAGACAGCCCTAAGTTATCTTAAACTGTTTTTTACGTTAGTACCACTACTTGCAACGTGAAAAATTATCCACATCCACTATTGGGACAACATACAAACCTCTATATATTTTAGAGTGCAACACTTTTAGAGTAAACTTGCTTTGAAAGTCGGATTTTTGTATTACACGTACATATATAAATTAGAATAATTTGATTATGAAGTGAAAGCTCTGTGTTCGGTTGTTAAGAATCACTTCACAAAATATGAAAAGCCTTACTGTGAGCGGAGATATGCGAATTCTACGGTGACTACTCCGAAAAAGATCACAAATTGGTCATTTACGTCAGTAAGAGAAAGTTCTATATAAACACTCAAATTGCTGAGAAAATCAACAGTGGTACTATTTTATTGCAGGATTATACCCCTGTGTGGCATGCTACTACAGTGTACTAAAGGAGATGCGGGAACTGGACGAAAACTCATCAGAAACCAAATTCACGTACTAGTAAGGTTAAAATCGAGGCATTCATGGTTGGCGAAAGCAAAATTTGGACTTTCTTCGCATTCTACCTACTTGTTGGAGAGGGACATTGGCTTCTGTACTGATACGCTTTATATACTGTACATGTAGCTCGCTCGCTGCAAGTGCAGTGCTCGCATTTACAAGCTTATCAGAAAATTCGCGTCATTTCACATTGAAAATTGAGCTGTTCCGGATACTTACATTACTTTTGCGGATTTGCATTTATTGTGGTACTGTACAGTGTTTGCCAGAAAAACTCGACGAAAGTAGCACTGCCTTCAATATGGGACTTTGTATGTAGAGTGGTACAGCTCGTCGACGCGGATAATTCAAAAATATAAAGATCATGTCACGACGAATCTGAGGTTGACTTCTTTGATTGGCCTAAAATTAGCCAATTAAACCAATACAAAAGTTCAAGGGTAAGCGTAAGCGCATGAAACTTCTTAAGGAGCGCCTTGCGCTCAGCGTTCGTGTAACGCCGCTGCTGCATGGTGGCTGGCGCTGCCTTTCGTCAAATGCCATTTTGACATGGACGTCCAAGTTTCAAATTTCAAATTGAGTTGGGCCAATCACAGCTGAGCACAATCTTTGATTAACGCAGTCAATTTTATCCAATTGGATCTATTGTTGCAATCCCCAGGTTTCGAAAAATTTATTTTATTCACGAGTGCTACTTTCGTCGAGTTTTTCTGGCAAACACTGTACTCGGACGACATGTAGACAAGAGCATACTACGTGGTACAGTATATCGAAAATGGACGAACTTCGACGTCGCATTTTCTCGAGCTATGTGATACTTAGCGCAATCCTGCTCATGTTACAAGATAGCCCGTCACAAACTCAGCCTATGCAGCATGGTCTTGTCATGCACAGGCTGAGTTTGTGATGCGGGTGTGCACCCGCATGTACACTGTACTCGCACGTTCTTGAAATACGACGAATTTGGCAACTTCAAGTTGTCTTTCTCTACAGTTGTTGATTTAGGCGACATGCAACAAATGGGCGCATGGGCTATAGCAAAACTTAAATAATTCTGGTGCTGAATAAAAATACGCATGCTTAATACAAACATCAATATAAAGATGTTCAAGCAAATAATACTATGTAACTGTCCCGCACATGCAATGCCGTAGAAGTGGCAGTTCACAGTTCCTGGCTGACTCGCACGTGACCGCTTGAATAAAGTTGCAGGCATCCCTCAACAATGGTACACCATGATTTGAAGGAATCAAGGACCATACTTTAAATACTTTATAATAACGTTAATGTTTTTGTGTCCTGTTCCCGCAACTCCAGTACAGGTACTCCGAAGTAGTAGTTCTTCGAGTACTTTCTGCCCTTTCTCACATTTTAAGGTACGGTTTCGGCAATGATTGATATGTCCGTTTTTATTGCCCTCATTGTCCTCTATCCGTCTAGAATCCCCAAATTATTTCTACAGTGGTAGTTAATAACGATACCAGACGTCCCTTTGGTGTTTTCAGCCGTTATTCGTGGTCTTCAGATTTTTATTCGTTTCTTCTACACTTGTCTCGTTTGCTACTACAGTACAGGATACTGAAGGGCAAGAAAGATCGCAGACCAATACAGTAGTGTACTGACTCGGTTTGTCCGCAAAGCACTGACATGAACCAAATCAATGTGCAACCTCATGGTCGTGGCTTCTACCTTGCCACCTCTGTCATTTTGCGACTTGCTCCTCTCATTATCGAATTCTCTGTCACTGCACGATGAAAATCGCTCTCGTCTTGTCTGTCGTGGTTATGGCCACCCCGGAAAAAATATTGCCCGCCGTGCTTCAATCGCTCGAACAAACATCCACCATATCTGTGGCCGTGTCCATTACAGAGCCCAATTCGACCACGCTAGCCGACCTTATCAACGCGCAAAAGGGCTCTACCCAGACTACCAACGCGTTTGACTGGGCCAAGTGCAACGACCTCACGAGTGAGTCAGTGTTTCTCTGCGACGACATGACCAAGGAAGAAATCGACAGTCTTGCGGCGTTGCCCGACGTCCAAGAGATCACTACTGTCGCAGACACCTCCACTCCTTGCCCTTCCAAAATCACCCCGAAACCTTCCACAGCCGGGGCTGACCGTACCACCAACGCGGCTGATACTACCACCACCGCAGCTGACCCTACCATCACCGGGACTGACCCTACCATCACCGGGACTGACCCTACCATCACCGGGACTGACCCTACAACCACCGGGACTGACCCTATCACCACCACTCCTTGCCCTTCCAACATCACCCCGAAACCTTCCACAGCCGGGGCTGACCCTGCCACCAACGCGGCTGATACTACCACCACCGCAGTTGACTCTACCACCAGCGCGGCTGACACCACCACCACCGCAGCTGGCCCTACCACCAACGCGGCTGACCCTACCAACACCACGGCTGCCGCTACGCTTAGCATGTGTGAGAACCCTGTAGACGACGTGGATTACTACGGCAACGACATCGATTCCACCCGTCGCTCGAACAGCAACGATTGTTGCGACGACTGTGTTAATACCCCTAACTGCGTTGTGTACGTGTGGACCCCTTGGGAGGGCGGCACGTG